TTACTGTATGTGGGATGCCACCTCAACATGGCCGGACAAGCGGTGCATCGATGCATGCCTGGGATGTGAACCCCGGGCCGCCAGCAACGGAGCACGCGCACTTAACCGCTAAGTCACGGGGCCGGCCCCAATATTGATTTATTTCTTAATTTGAGTATTTATTTTGTCAGAACACATATGTGAGTCATAAACCCACCATGGATTTGTTATATATGTTCTAATATACTTGTCAATGAGCAGCATCTTGCTTTACTTTAGTATTCATGACTATTAGACTTATTTCCCTTAAAATGATTTCAATTTGGTCCATTGCTTTTATGAAGGAAACCAGTATTATAAGGGAGAAGTTGATGTCATTTTATTTTAAGTTTTCTCGTGGAACTTTTTTTCTTCATCCATGAAATGGAAAAAATTGATTTTACATTTATATAAGTGTTTTTTTAATTAATTTTTTTTGGCAGTTGGTCTATCTTAAATGAGGTTTTTTATAAAGATTTTTGATAGAGGATTCCTCTAAAAGAAAATACTTTGGACAGATCCTACATGTATTAGTTATCTGTTGCTGAGTAACAAATTACTGTAAAACTTAGTAGCTGTAAAACTACTATTTATTATTTCTTAGTTTCTTTGGGTCAGGAATCCAGGCATGGCTCATTGGGTCTTTTGCTTGAGTCTCTCACAAGACTGTAGTCAAGGTGTCAATAGGGCTGGGATCTCATCTGAAGACTTGACTGGGGAAGGATCTGCTTCCAAGCTTACTCTTGGACCAATCTAGTGCTTTTTCCACTGCAACACATATCAGCGGGTAGTTGATTTATTTGAGAGTCACTCTTTGGGTCTTATAGACAGCCCCAGGAATATCTAGCTCTTTTTGGTCCTTCCTGTTATTCCGTCATAAACCTGTGTGTGTGTGTATACCTGTAGGAAGGGAAGAAAGGAGGAAGAGGTGGAAAACAGGAAAGTGGGGAGAATGATCATAAGTTAGCATAACTTTTTTCCATTTTAAGACCTATACTTTTTTTCCCCATAGGTGCCTTAGCTGGACCAGTTATTGTGGAGCCGCATGTTACAGCAGTATGGGGAAAGAATGTTTCATTGAAGTGTTTAATTGAAGTAAATGAAACTATAACACAGATTTCATGGGAGAAGATACATGGCAAAAGTTCACAGACTGTTGCAGTTCATCATCCTCAATATGGATTCTCTGTTCAAGGAGAATATCAGGGAAGAGTCTTGTTTAAAAACTATTCACTTAATGATGCAACGATTACTCTACATAACATAGGATTCTCGGATTCTGGAAAATACATATGCAAAGCTGCTACATTCCCACTTGGAAATGCTCAGTCCTCTACAACGGTAACTGTATTAGGTAGGTATGCTTGAATTGTGTATTTTGGTGGTAGTGGTAAGGATTATAATAAAAATATTTTTAAGAATTTAAAATGATTGAAGTTATGTATAAATTTAGGTTTAAAATAAAAGAATTCATATGTGATTTTTAAACTTGACTTAAAGTTCTGTGATTCTAGGCTCTCTTAATTTAAACAATGTCTGTATCTACTTACCTATCTATATAATGCTATGTAGTTCTTAGCTATTTTACTTTCTTCATGAAAGATTGTTTTTTATTTGTAATACTGAGTGCTGAGTTTCTTTGACATATTTATTTTCATTATTTTCCTTCAAATTTTCAACTTTAATTTGTCATCATTAATTAAGCTTTTCCATTTTTTTAAATGATTGTTGTCTGGGAGCCATTGACACCTCATGTTTGGTGTTTAAATCAAATTTTATTTCTGCCATTGTGGATTTGCATAGCTGTTTGACTCTTGGGCTATTGCTCGGAATGAATGGTCTTCTACCTCTTCCTATCTGATAACTGTTTATAGTGGAGTTTAGAATGAGCTTATTAGCATTAAGATAGCCACTTGCAGTGAAAGGTAAACCAATTTGGAAATGCTGATGAGTACTTTTGAAATAGTAGAACAAGGATTAAGGAGTAATAGTAATTTTAGCCATTTCTACCCAAAGTGTGGGACTCCTTTAATGGATAGTCTTTGCTTCAACTCTTCTCTTTTGCCTGTCAGGGACTTTGTCAGGTCTGCTAATAGCTCCTGCTGCTTAATCCTTCTTCACTTTCCTCCCAGATGTTACTGCCTAATAAGCCTTTGTATTCCTCACTTGTTCTCCGTGTCTTCTTCCAGAGAACCAAACAAGTACATAGCCTTTATTATTTAATGGTATAATCTCAGGGTCTCTGAAATGCAGGAAAGCAGTTTTATCCAAATTTGTTATTTATATTTTTTCATGATGAGAGAGAGAATTTAAAAATAGAAATAAAATTAAATATTTGAGGACTTTATATGTTTAAGACACTGCTCTAAGAGCTATGGGGAAATATAACTTACATTTATGAAATTGATACTTTTGAGAAATGTTTTGATTGGAAGGCAAGGCATAAATATCTGAAAAATCAAGTGCAGGCCATCAGGTAAAAAGAGGTCACAAAAAAAGTTCAGTGCCAAGAAAATAATATAGTTTGCAGATGGAAGAGAGAACTCATAGGAATAAACTTTTTTTTTGCTTTAAATTTTAGTTATTCCCCCTAAATTAATATAGTACTCAATGGTTTAAAACTCAGGATTGTTTATAGTATAAGACTAGTTATGATTTTACCAGTGCCTACTTCTCTAGCTTGATCTATTCCATACTTTGCTCCACCTCTCCCAACAGCATAAATTTTATAATCTTAATAAACTGTTTGTAGTTCTGTTAACACCTGTCTGTGTTTTTACATGTGTTTTTCCTCTTGCCTGGAATGCCACCTTTTTCCTCCTGTCTCTCCCTACATTCTTCTATTTAAGTAGTTCATCAAACTACATCCTTTGGAAGCCATACTTGAAATATCTAGCTCCCACACAATTTTATGTTCTTTTGCTCTTTTGCCATTGTATCCTAAGTATATTTTTTTTTTTTTTTAAAGATTTTATTTATTTATTTTTCCCCCAAAGCCCCAGTACATAGTTGTCTGTCATAGCTGCACATCCTTCTAGTTGCTGTATGTGGGACGCGGCCTCAGCATGGCTGGAGGAGTGGTGCCTCGGTGCGCACCCGGGATCCGAACCCGGGCCGCTGGCAGCGGAGCGCACGCACTTAACCGCCAAGCCACGGGGCCGGCCCCCTAAGTATATTTTTATTGTAGCAGTTACCATCCTGTTTATTATATGTTTTCTCTACTATAAACACATGGTGGACTGCAACTCTGAGCTTTAAAATTTAACTTTATATTTCTAAAGCCTATAAGAGTTCCTGGTATATAGCAGTCATACACTAAATGTTATTTAAGTAAGGTATAGTAATGGATTGGTAAACTTTGTAGTCTAGAAATGTTTTGTAGAAAAAATACTTGAGCAAGTCCTTGAATGGTGGGTAAGTTTTGGGTGGGCAAAAAGCAAAGCAGCATAGGGAGAGTAATAATGTGCCAGTGCAGGGAGGCAGAAAACACGCATTAGGGCAGAGTTTCTTCAACGTTGGCATAGTTGAAATTTTGGGTGGGAATTCTTTGTTATGGTGAGCTGTTCTGTCTATTGTAGACTATTTAGCAGTGTCCATGGCCTCTACCTACTAGATGCTAATAACAGTCCCTTGGTTGTGACAACTTAGAATGCTCCATTCTAAGGACATTGCCAAGTGTCCTCTGGGGAAGGATGGAAGAGATCAGTCACTGTTGAGAGCCTTCATTAGTGGAACTATTGAATAATTTATTGATTGTTTAAAAGATTTATATAAAGTACAAGAATTAAAGGCTAGAAAGGTAGACCACATTAAAGTAACTTGAATGTTAGGATGGGAAATTTGAGCTTTCTGTTACTGGGAATGTGAACTTAGTATACAGTATTGTGTTTCTTCTTACTTCCCTTCTTCTACTCTCAGGCTCCTGCTGGTTTGTTTTGAGGAAGATTGGCCCTGCGCTAACATCTGTTACCAATCTTCCTCTTTTATTGCTTGAGGAGGGTTAGCCCTGAGCTAACATCTGTGCCAGTTTTCCTCTCTTTTGTATATGGGACCACCACAGCATGGCTGATGAGTGGTGTAGGTCTGTGCCTGGGCTCTGAACCCATGCACCCGGGCTGCTGAGGCAGAGCGCACCGAACTTGACCACTAGGCCAAGGGGCTGGTCAATCTGGTGTTTTTGATGGATTGAAATGAAGAGGTCCTGAAATCATAATGCCTCAGCCATGAGGCCATGAAGCCTTGAAATTAATTTTCTAATTTCTACCACTTGAGCAAAGCAAGAAGCTGTTAAAAGGAATAACTAGCAGGACTTTGTAACTGACTGGATATAAGAAACGAGGGAGGTTTGAACAATAACAGGTTTTGAACCTTGGTGATGAGTAAATTTTATTACCATTAATTTAAATGGGCATGTCTGAGTGAAAAACAGGGGTTGGGGATTGGGAGGATGAGATGATGAGTTCAGCATTTGGTTTATTGAGTTTGAGGATATATAGGCAAAAAATACAAGGCAGGTGGTTAGAAACTGTGGAGTCAAGCCTTGTTTCAAAATTGGAGACAATTAGGGATCATCTGGGAAGTAGCGTTTATCAGATAAAAGTTTTTAAGGGAGATACAAAAAGTAACTGAAGGCCTAGAGCTATTAGGGCAAAGTTTGGAAGAAATAGAGATGCAGAGCTGAAAGAGAGCTTTGAGAAAAACTTGGGCGAAGTCATATTGTTCATATCAAGAGAAGATAAAGTTTTTTAAGATTACTCTAGCAGCTTTTTTCCACAGTGAGAGTTGAGTGCTACAGAAAATGATATGTGACCATTTTTTCAGTTCTCCCAAGGATGGCACACGGATAGTATCATTCTAAATGCATAGCCCAGAAATTAATTCGTTACAACCTTAAGGCATTAGTACTTAATTCTTTTGGAACTGATTGGGAAGAACTGCGCTGAAGTATCAAATTCTACAGTTATTCAAGAGAATAGCAAAGTATTGAGCCTGTAGATTAGGTGGTAATGTTAGAGTTTCAATGGAGTGGTAGTAATAGAAACCAAATTAAGGGAATGTGATGTAACAAAGAGCTTTGGGAAGATTGAACAATAAATGCCCTATAGGAAGAGTTGTTACACAGTTGGTTACTTCCTCTTGATGGAATATTACACAGTTGTTAAAATTATGATCAAGAGAAGTATTGCTGCTTGAAAAAAAAAAAGCCTCAAAATTGATGGTATGCCATGACTACATCTATGTAGAAAGTAGAAATAGAAAAAGAGAGGGAAATGGAAGAATATGGTAATGACTGTATTTAGGATATTGCAATTATGGATAATTTTTCCCTATCTTCCCAATTTTTGGTAATATTACTTTTGCCATTGAAAAATAGACTTCCATTGCTGGACGTGTTGGAGTAACAGGGACTGGATTTACCCTCTCTAGGAACAAAAAAACTAGGCAAATAAGAAACAATTTTTATTCATTGGACAAAGGCAGTGTAGGATTACGATCTCAAACAAGGTGAGTCCTACAATTGCTCCAGCTTCCTCCTTAGGCAGTTTCCAGGCTACAGCTCAGTGGCAAGGAGTTGAAGCAATGCATGGTGATCTCACTGAGTTGAAGAGACAGATTAGAACTCAGGGAGGACAGGTGATTAGAATTTGTGGAGCAGAATACTAGACAGAAGGGAGCATCAGAGAGGGAGAAGGAAAGAAGGAGAGTGACTTTGGAGATGTACAGAAGGGCTCTCTGAAGTCTTTGGTTTAGTACTGATCTGTGTGCATGTGAGAGGAAACTTTTGAGGTGGAGGAAAGAAGCAACAGAAAGCAGAAGGCCTAACAATCCTGGCATTCACATAGGGCTGGAAAAGCATCTTGTTCCTCCCAGTCAGAGTACACAGGGCATTGGGCAGCATCTTAAAGGAAGCAACAGCAAAACTGCTAGACAGGAAGGAGGGCACAGAGAAGTTAACTAAGTGTTGAGGTATATGAGAAAAGTAAGTTTAATTAATTAATTAATTAATTTTTTGCTGAGGAGGATTCACCCTGAGCTAACATCTGTTGCCAATCTTCCTCTTTTGCTTGAGGAAGATTCGCCTTGACCTAACATCTGTGCCAGTCTTCCTCCATTTTGTATGTGGGTCACTACCAGAGCATGGCTGCTGACAAGTGGTGTAGGTCCATGCCTGGGAACTGAACTCGGCCCGCCAAAGCGGAGCACGCCGAACTTAACCACTAAGCCATGGGGCTGGCCCCCAAGAAAACTAACTTTAGAAAGCTAATAAAATCTATAGCAGGGAGATTGATTCCCTTCAGAAGAAATAGAAAGAACATAATTTAAAATTGTCTTTAAAATAAATTTTTTAAGTTCCTCAAGATAAAAACTTCTAGTGATGATGATGTAAGTTACTCAGACCAACTCTCCCACAGGGGGTGAAATATAAAAATCACCATTGAAAGCTTCAAAGAAATAACAACATACTGAGGACTATAACTAGAGCAAAATCTAGGAGAAGATGAAAACATAGAAATAAGCCTAGCACTGAAAGCTGAGAGTTGCATTCAACCTGAGAACATTTGACAATTCAGAAGAAACACCGGAGATGCTGAGCTAAGATTTTGGGAGCCTTGAGAAGTGAGAGGGAAAAATGTCTAAGTGCAATTCTGCTCAAGATGGGATGTGTAATAACCCTTCTCATATTCATCTGGTACCCAAAGGCTTGCATTTTCAGAATAGTTGTAAACCAGAGGTAAACCAGCCTTCTTATAGACTTCTAGGCCTGGTTTATGTCACCCAGCTAATCTGAATTTAAATTAAGGAGATGCTGGACTGGTTAGTGTTTTCAGGAGCTTGGCAGAAGAAAACACAGATCTTTTCTGGAGGAAAGGTGCCTTTATTCTAGACCTCAAACTATTTCTACCTTAATTATTCAAACACAGGCATATAGTCTGCTTGAATAAGCAAAGACGACCCCACAAGCAGTAGCCAGCACAAACAAGACAACAGAAATAGACTTGCAAAGATATAAGATGTTGGAATTATGAGACACAGACTGTTAAACAACAACACTTGCCATTTGAGTAGATAAATCAATCTATAAAATTTCTGCAGAGACCAAGAAACTATATATAAAAAATATCACATAGCAATTGGCCTCAAAGTTGAGAAGTATTTCTTAGTATATAAAAGCACTTAACATAAAAGGAAAATAAAAATTGGTAAGTTTCAGTACATTTTAATTTTTGCTCATCAGAAATTCAGTGCACACCACACAGTAGGGTAAAAAGACAAGCCCTAAACTGGTAGGAGATATTTGTACCACATATAATCAAAAAACGACTCTCCTTCCAAATCAATGAGAAAAAAACGATTGGCTTTAATAGGCATTTTTCAGAAGAAGCAATTCCAGATGGCCCATAATCATGAAAAGATCCTTAACCTCATTTGTAATCTGAGAAGTTAAAGTCTCAGTGATATGCCATTACATACCTACAAGATTGGCAAACCTTGAGCAGTCTGACAATATCAGTTGTAGTGAGTATATGGACCAATAGGAGCTCTAAGATTGGGAGTAAATTGGTACTTTGGAAAGGTTTTTGCATTACCTGGTAAAGTTGAAAATAAACACAGTAGTAGCAATTCCACTGCAAGGGATAAACTTGAGAAACTTGAGCATAAATATACCCAGATACATAAGTGAGAATGCTTATAAAATTGTTTATACCAAGCAGGGAACAACACTGGTGTCTAACAGTAAATAAACCGTACAGCACTTAAAGCTAATAATTTATACATTTGCATGTAAGTCTAAATGATGTCAAAATAAAAATTAAAGAAATGAATTCTAAGACAGTAAACTAAGGCTAAATGTTCCTTCCTAAATGAATCTCAAGAACACAAAGTTAAGTCAAAGAAAAACTATACAAAAATACATATTCATTAGATAATTCATACACACAATTAGTCCAACTCAATTCATATAAAGTTCAGAAACAGGTGAAGTGAAACTTGTTTAGGTTTGTATTTATTGGTTATAGAACTATCATGGAAAGTAAGCAAAAATTTCTAATGTCAGTGTAATGGTTTTCACGTTTGGGCAAGTAGCGTGTTAAGATCAAGAAGAGGTTGGGGCTGGCCTGGTGGCGCAAGTGGTTAAGTGCGCACGCTCTGCTGTGGCGGCCCAGGCTTCACCGGTTCGGATCCCGGGCACGCACCGACGCACCGCTTGGAAAACCATGCTGTGGTGGCGTCCCACATAAAGTAGAGGAAGATGGGCACGGATGTTAGCCCAGGGCCAGTCTTCCTCAGCAAAAAAAGAGGAGGATTGGCAGATGTTAGCACAGGACTGATCTTCCTCACAAAAAAGAAAAAAAAAAGATCAAGAAGAGGCATATGAGGATCTTGGGAGGTGCTAATGTTCTTTTTTAAGGTATATGGTGGTTACATGGATGTTTGCTGTAAATTATTCATTACATGTGTTGTATGCACTTTTCCCTTTTATTTTACAATAATGCCTCATAAAAGAGGAAATACATAAGGAAAATATTAATATCCCTTAAAGTAAATTATGAAACAAAAATGGGTAGATACAAATGAAGAACAGATGGCACTGGAAGAACCAGTAGGAAATCTTGGAAATGAAAAAAGTCTTTGACATAAAAACTTAATGCACAGAATAAACTATAGGCTTAAACCGAAGAATTCATGAAGTGAGTACTGAGGAATTTATACAGAAACAAGCGCATAAAATTTGCTGGAAAATATGAAGAGATAGGATATATGGAGGGTAGATTGAAAGGGTCTAACATTAAGATTACTTTCCCGTGCTGAGGAGCTTTCTTTTACCAGAAAAAGATAGGTGATGTACATTCCAATAAACATAGCTCTTAATGATGTTACATTTTAACAGTGTAGGTTACATACTGGTAACTTATTTTAAAATGTATTTTCTTTAAACATTTTTGCTGAAAAATGAAGCATTATATATTGACTGCTTTTTTTTTTTCAAAGTAATAATATCTTTAATCTCATAATGGAAATTATGATCTCATTCACAGGAATTTTTTGTATATAATACTAATTTTGGGGAGAACTCATATACAACTATAAAGAAGAGTGTATCTCTACCAGGAAGAGCCATGTTTGTAGTGGTTATATATATAGTCTTGGCTTCTTGTTTGTCCTGGGTCATGATCTCTTCTTCCAAGAATCCTGTTGATGTTGGCATTACCTAAAAAGTATGTGTGTAGATTTTATAGGCAGTTGCCCCTAAGTTTATGAAATATGGCTAGATGTGGCTTATAAGGATGTAAAAATATTCTTAATTGAAATATAACTAATGTTTTTTTTATTTAAACAGTTGAACCCACTGTGAGCCTGATAAAAGGGCCAGATTCTTTAATTGATGGAGGAAATGAAACAGTAGCAGCCATTTGTATTGCAGCCACTGGAAAACCAGTTGCACACATTGACTGGGAAGGTGATCTTGGTGAAATGGAATCCACTACAACTTCTTTTCCAAATGAAACAGCAACAATTGTCAGCCAGTACAAACTGTTTCCCACAAGATTTGCTAGAGGAAGGCGAATTACTTGTGTTGTAAAACATCCAGCCTTGGAAAAGGACATCCGATATTCTTTCATATTAGATATACAGTGTAAGTAAATAGCATTTGCTTTTTAAACATCATGCATTTTAATTTTCTTCCTTTGATGTAATTTGATAACAAACTGTTTTTAGTTTGAATATTTAGTGTTCAAATATTCTTATAGCTTTTCCTTGTTGACATTTTTCTTAATTTTAAAAATATTTTTATGGAAATTTCATTAAACCAGAACATTTTTTATCAGTTTGTAAAAATGGACAATGACTTTAAAGTTGTTCTCCAACAAAATTATTTAACCCTATCCTTTTTAGACCTTAAAAATAGACTGGACTTAAGCGAATTGTGGAAGTTTATGCCTCAAAATGTGCGATACGTAGAAACAAACAACTACTTCTCCAATCCAATTAACTTAGCTATTATTCAGTTTTATTGATGCTACCCAGGATGTTTTTAGCAAGAATCTTTTACTTCCTAGATGCATTTTAATTAGTTTGAAAATCTGTATTTTTTCAATATTATTTCTAATCTGATTTTATTGATCATGTTATAAGATTCTTCTATAAGTAAAACAATATTTTAAAGACATCGTTGAGATAATAACCATTATAGATAAGGTTCAAAGCTGACCCATCTTGTACTTTTATTTTTTTGTTAAGCGATACTCTCTTGTGTGTATGTGTTTGTGTGTATATGTGTGTGTGTGTATACATTTCCCTTTTCTATAAAGTTTCTCAGTTTTTGTTACATTCTTCATGTAGTATTTAAGAATTTTGTGCAAGAGAAAAAGTGATGGTGTAGGTAGTTTATAGCAAGGATAATGAAAATTAAGAAGATTAGAGAGAAAATTAGAAGTGTTTAGGTTCTGTTGTCATTTCCATCCATGAACAGATCATAAATCTAGGTAGGTTTTTGAAGGAGATGTTCTATTTTTCATTGTTATTGTTTTTGTTTTTTGATATGACATGCATGGAATTTTAAATTACACATATTCATTACACTTGGTATGATGGTTTCTAAAGTTAATTCTAAGGATCTTTTTCACCATTTATAGGGTCAAACTTGAGAAGCTGTCTTACATGAATATTGTTACCATTATATTCTTGAGTTCAAATCCCTTTTTTTCTCCTTCTGTGGAGAATTCAATTAAAATTTTTCTTTTTCCTTTTCCTACCTTGCTTTCACAGACTTTTAACTTTTTCCTTTTTCTTGTAAAATTCAGATCCCAATTGTAAGTACTATTAATATTTTTCTCATATTTTTCCTTCCCTGTGTCTAATGACTGAAATTTTCTTCAATTTGTATTATGTATATTATTTTTTTTGTTTGCTTGAATGCAACCCTAACTGTATAAAAATATTTCTTCTAATGTAAGACTTTATAATTATGGCTTAGATTTATTGGCTTACTCCTAAAATGTTCTTAGAGTACTCATGACTTTTTTCCTCTTTTTAATTGGGACCTATAAAACATGTGAATGAAGTTTAAGGAGATAAAAATCTTACATCCAAGATTTGTATCTCAAAATTTGGCAGTGTTCTTTGGGATACTTTAATACCTATCCTCTCCTCCTTTTAAAAGAAGTTAAACTCACAGGTATCTGTACTGTTTGGCAACATTTTTTAGTACCAATTTTAAGTTACAAAAATGTTTGTTAATTCTTGATATTTATGAGAGGCAGGCATTTCTTCTCTTTTTTTTTTTTTTTTTTTTTTTGGTGAGGAAGATTGACCCTGAGCTAACATCGTTGCCAGTCTTCCTCTTTTTGCTTGAGAAAGATGGTCCCTGAACTAACATCTGTGCCAGTCTTCCTCTACTTTGTATATGGAACGCCACCACAGCATGGCTTGATGACCGGTGCATATGTACGTGCCCGGCATCTGAACCTGTGAACCCCAGGCTGCCAAAGCGGAGTGCACGAACTCAACCACTATGCTACCAGGCCAGCCCCAGGCATTTCTTTTTAAAATTACTAAGGTAATTGTACCTTAGTAAAAGTTTAATTTTTTACTGCTTTTTTGTAAACCTTTCTTGACAGTAGGTCACGCTTTCCTGGCAGAGTTAAAGACTGACCTGGTCTCTCTCTAACTTCACATTTCCCATGTGCTATTATCTAGTTTACTATATAGCTCACAGAAAGATGGAGGGTCCCGGCACCATGCATAAGTAGCATTTCCTTGGGGAAGTCTTTTATGACCTTCCTAGCCCCATGCCCAGTATAAATTAGACCCTTTCTCTTTTTTCTTAACATCCTATTTTTCCTTCTTGGCCCTCGTAATTGATTTTAGTTAAATATTTTTAAAATGTCATCTTTCCTATTACTGTTAGAACATAAATTTTATGAATACAGAGTTTATATGTATACCAAATACCTAAAACAGTGCCTGTGACTTATTAGGAGCTAAACAGTGTAATGGTTGAATGAATGATTAGTATTGGATTTGATAGTTTGAAGGCATGAATTTTTTTGCTGGTAGATATGGATAATTACTTTTTACCTAATTATATTACACTTATGCTAAAAGACCTTTGGGTACATTGAATGGATAAAAATTCATGTTTTAGAACAGTTGGAGCCTTGGATAATTTACTTTAGTTGTAATTATAGTCTTAGAAAGTTTGTGTCACATCACTACATGTCCACAGAATATTAATTAATTGTAATATAAGGCATCTAATCTCTATAATTGACTTGATATCTCTTAGGGGTTATTTCCTTTCAGATTAAACATTTCTTTAAAAACAGTTTTATATGGTGACTTGGTGCTTAAATGCCATGTCTCATTATCAAATTAAGTTCTATAATGTATTTTCTTTGTTCATACATCTCTACAGATCTCATAATAGGACTCTTATATTTTGCTTTTGGTGATTATAGGTTTATGAATGTTCTTACATTCAGCGTTCATAATAACTAGAACTGTACGTGCTTATAGTTGTCTAGTGTTTGGGTACTCATTGTCCATTCATTCACACATTCTTTTAGTTAACTAATATTTATTGAGTACTGTCTTTCACATTGGTTATGTATATTGAGAAAAGGAAAAATGATTTCTGTTCTTTTAAAGTTTAGTCTATTATGTTAATGCTTTATCGTTGTATATTGCATTTATCGTTAACTAAAGGTAATCTGTCTTGTCATGCATTTATTTTATAGATGCTCCTGAGGTTTCAGTAACAGGCTATGATGGAAATTGGTTTGTAGGAAGAAAAGGTGTTAATCTCAAGTGTAATGCTGATGCAAATCCACCACCCTTCAAATCTGTGTGGAGCAGGTAATAATGTTAGATACTTCTAAAGAGAAATTATTGACAAGTGAAAAATATTCTTAAATGTATATTTGAAGTTATTTTTTATGAGTGTAATACATGATAAAATAGTAATAGCTGAAAATTAAATTAAGGGTTTCTAAGTGTTCTGCGCTACCTCTCCCCACCTTCCTTCCCCCACAGTTCTGCTCCTCAAAGGCTACTTTAGCAATCTTAGCAATTGCTTCTGGTAGTAACCATCATAGGTCTTAAACTGCTACTTCTTAATTTACTAATTTTTAACAGTATCAACTTATTATGGTAAATGACAATTTAATTTTATATTTATCCCTTCATACACAAGCATACTCATATATATTCCTACCCTTCATAGTCCCAATGAAATTAAGCTACTTTTAGTTAAACTCTGTAATCATTGTTTGCCTCCCAATGACTGGTAAATATTATTTACTGAGAGCTAAGTAGTATACTGGAATTCAGTTTTCTTTTGTCTAAAGCTACTTGTTTTCCCTGATCCTAATAATTGCTTCTTTTTACTTGTGTAGTAGTTTACTATCTGAATATCCTTAATTCTCTTTATGAAATTTCAAACTGTTATACTAAAGTTTTCATTTGTATTTCTCAGTATTTGGGGCTCTTCTTCAATCTAGAGACATGTATCTGTCAACTGTGGATAACTTTCTTATTTTTTCATCATTTTTTCTCCTTTTTTTTTCCTGTTTGCTCTTAGTAGAACTCCTATTTATTGTATACTACATATCTTTTCTTATTTTTCAAACAGTTGTTGTTTTTCCAGAAGATTTTCTTGATTTCCCCCCATTGATTTACTGATTTAAAAATTTTTTTGGCATATTTTCAATTTCTAAGAACATTTTCTTATTCTCTGTTCATTTTTCATAGCATCCTTTTCTTATTTTCTGGATGGTAATGTCTTGTTTCTTCCTAGGGATGCTAGAGTTATTTCCTCTGCAGAGAGTTTTTCTACTTTCTACATATTGTCTATATTTTTCCTCCAGGTTTTTTTGTTTGGTCTTTTATTTTGTAGGTATTCCTTAATTTTCCTAGTTGTCCAGTCATTTCACATTGATGCATTAAAATAGAATGCTGAGTGGAAGGAAGCTCTGTCTCTTTAATGGAGATTACTCATTAGTAGATTCCACTTAGAGCGTTCAGGTAGAGAGGTGGTCGTTTCCCTGGGGAAGCTTCAGATGTCACTTACGGAAGAGTGGAAGTCTTTTTTTATGGCCATTCAGTTTATTTATTGAATTAACCTTCATTCTTTTGCCTAAAACACAAATGCCTGGTAACTGTACAGAGTTGGGAGGAGTCTATTGTTTTGTTTTTTTCAGCTTTCAATTAATCTTATTTCTAGCCCTCTGCTTCACTCTGGCCTTCTGCAGTCAGGTGAGTCAAACTCCCAATTTTTCTTGGGTTCTTTGGACCAAATTGGCTGCTTTCTCGTCTGTGTGCCTCCTATGCAAGCAATTCTTCAGCCCAAAGCAGAGCTTTCCAGCCTTGGTACTGTTGACATTTTGTGCTGGTTAAATCTGTGTTGTGGGAGGCAGTCCTGTGACTTGTAGGATGTTTAGTAGCATCCCTGGCCTCTATTCTCTAGAGAAGTAGCAGCTTGCTTCGCACCCCCGCACCCCCCAGAGTTGTGGCAACCACAAATGTCTTCAGACATGCTGCCAAGCAAAAATGTCTCCAGACATGCCAAATGTCCCCTGGAGACAAAATGACTCTTGATTGAGAAACATTGGCCTAAAACCAATTGTTTTCTATATATTGTTTTCTCCATCTGTTTTCTGTCTTCTAAAAGTTTGTTGAAACATCTTGTCTGATGAATTCTGCCTTCTGTTCTCTTTCTCCTCATGGATTTTTAATAGCTTTTTAATTCCTTTACTCTTGTTTTACGTGGGATTTTGTGGGAGCAAGGAAACAGTATATTTGGTCAATCTGTTGTCTTTAAGCAAAGATGGAATTTTAAAAGTAGAGAAGGCCTTTTCATTTACATTTTCTTAAAAGTGGGGAAAAGTTGTTGGTTAAGATGTGTGATAGGTTATTTCTAAAAGTCATACAATTCTGAGTTCTCATCCTAGTGTCTGTACTTGGAGATATTTGTTTAAGTCGTTTAATCTCTCTGGTCCTTTGTTTCCTATTGCTAGTGGTACTTCATAGAGGGTAGAGACAATGGATATAAATCATGTAACATAAGTAAAAGAGCATAGAAGATGCTTAGCTTGTCATTTGTTGTGAGTTTAATGTGATATTTAGATATTTCTGACTGAGGCTTATTTGAATAAACAACTTTAAAGGATTATAAGCCATTTTTATATTTCTGAGAATTAAAGGGCCCAAAGTACAGAGATAATTGATAAGATATGTATATTCATTCTTATCCTTCTAGAAAGAGTTTGCCTTTTGAAAACTGATGCATGTAAAAAATGTTCTTTCCAAAGTCCTCTTAAGAAGAAGGTTGGGTGTTTTTTTATTTTTTAAACCGTTTAAGAATATTACCTTTATCCTTCAATGCTAAATTAAACTACTAACAACTGCATGGTAAATAGTAAGTTCCTAGTAAGTAAATAATGGATGGATGAGTGAATGAGCTTTTTGAAAATCTGATTACCTCAAATTGTAGTAGTTGAGTGCCTGGGTTTACTTGACTTTTTATCCTCTTATCTTGAAAAATAACTTATGGGCTTTAAAAACAGTTTCAAAATAAAGACCTATTGGTGGTGGTTTTTTTTTTTTTTTTTGGTACTCTAAGGTTGGCAAAATGATATATAACAGTATACTTAGTTCCGTTGCAGTGAGTGGCTTTAGAGTTCTTATAGTGGGATTTTATTCCTATTATGGTTTATAGTAATGTATACACTAGATAGAACCTCTTCGCCAAATTAGTATAGGCACTGTTTGAAAAGAGTTATTATTGATACTAAATGGTGCCTTGGTTTTTCTTGGTGCTTTAGAAACTAACCATCTTTGGATGGGGCACAGTACAGATTTGCTCAGTATTAAATGATGCTTTTTAAATATGTTACAGAAGGTATTAAAACATTATCATGTACTTAGATGACTTTTCATTAAGAAAAATGTAGATATATCATGCATAGATCCATAATTCACTGGGAATTATTTTAATTCCTTTGATACTGTGGGTATGTCTTCCATTACTATACTTTTCTAATTTTCCAGTTTTCTGAATATAATTCTTTAAAATCATATAATTTTTTTCTCTCCTTCTCTCCTCTTCTAAATATGTTTGCCTAGCTACACCTATATGAGTTGATATATTGAAAGAATGAGTGCTCTTAGTGGACTTTATCTAGTGGCTCATCTTTATTAAAATGAAAATTCATAACTTATTATATGCTTTCATTTCATAGTGAATTTTACCTGAAGGATGCTGGTTCTTTCACTGACATCTCAAAAGTGTAATATCTTATTTAAATAGCTGTCAATGAATAGTGTCTGAGGATATTTAAAGTAATTTCATGCTTTTTAAAATCCAGGTTGGATGGACAGTGGCCTGATGGTTTATTGGCTTCAGACACTACTCTTCATTTTGTCCATCCACTGACTTTCAATTATTCTGGTGTTTATGTCTGTAAAGTGACTAATTCCCTTGGTCAAAGAAGTGATCAAAAGGTCATCTACATTTCAGGTAAGTTACTATCTACTCGAAAAATGAGTTACTTAAATTATTCCTATAATGACAATCATAACAATAATACTATGATCTAGGTGATAATTTATACTTGTGAAGATACAGATGCCTCAGGGTGATGTTTTCCAAATAATCTAAAAGAGATAAAATAAAGTAACGCTACCTGAAATACAATTTCTATGCAGTTTATATTTTAAGACCTATGCATATAGTTAATTTTTCAGTTAAATAGTATTGACTATTCCTTTTATAGGTAGTGTGTTCTTTCATCTTCACACCAAGAACAAACATTGGGTTTGGTTGGTTGGTTGGTTGGTTTTGGTGGCTACTCTACACACAAATATCTGATAAATAAAATGGGGTATCAACTTTGATGACCTGGCTTGTTAAATAACATTGTTTGTCACTCAGCGTGGGACTATACTATATTGGGTTACTGAGAGGTGAAGTAGGAATACTACTGAAAATGTTCTAATGAAATAAAATTTAAGATGTTTCTTATTGTCAATCCTTAAGCCACTAGGAACTTAGATTTTTCACATTCTATTTGTTTCACTGTGAACGTTTTTGTTAGTTTGAGTATAAATTTGGGTATTTACAAAATTTAGTTCGAGCTAAAAATATATTCTTTTCTGGATGTGGCTATAAATAATAAATTATCCCAATGGAATGCTTATAAAAATTTATAAAATATTTTGAGCATCTCCTAATGACTACAAGAATGTAGCAATCTTCATGTCTAATAAATGGAAAATTAAAGGAAAAAGGAAGAGAACCTTGAAAAATGCAGGTTTGTATGGGAATTATGTACTAGTTAAGATTTTTATCTCAGTTCAAATCTAAAACTAAATAAACTAGAGATTTTAGAGAAATCGCAAGTTGGCTGTAATGTTATATTCTCATTCCTTATATGATCACTCAATCTAAGAACAGTCCCCCATATCATTTTCTCGTGGCACTTACACCACCATTGATAGTTGTGTGCCCATTTATTTGCTTATTATCTATTCTCATTTATTTGCTTATTATCTATTCTCGTTTAAGCAGTTTGTGTCTGCTTTATTTACCACTGTATACTCAGCTAGTGCCTGACACATGATAGGGACTCAAATATTTTTTTGTATGAATCTCATAAGAAGCCTAAAGCTACGTACATCCTGAGCTAGCCCTTTCTGCCAGCAGCATTGCTTTGGTGGAAATCTGAATGAGATTAAATGTTAGTATATTCGTTTCCCTTTCTTCCCTTAGAGGTCGTTTATTTAAAAAAAAAAAAAAAATCTTAAAGCCACAGGAAATGCATATTTTTAAAATGTAGTTACCTAAAGACTGCTTACTTTTTATTTCTATTGTACAAAATTGGTGTGAGATATTACTTGTAAATCTTAGGCGTAGTGTGTTATAATTACATAATCATTTAAATAAAGGCTCAATTTGGGCATTCTTATATATACCGATTTCATTGGTGATATCCTAAATTGATACCTTTTGGTATTCTGGGTCCACATCCCAGTGCTCTTGACTTGTGTGTCTAACTGCCTATAAATGATCATTAACCCTATGTAGAAATATAATAGGCATTTACAACTTAACATTCAAAACTGAGGTCCTAATCTTTATCCTGCCCCTTGCCACCAAACCTCTTCCTCCAACAGTCTTCCTCCTTTCAGTTATTGGGAGCTCCATCTTTCCATTTGCTCAGGGTATAATCCTTGATACTTACCTTTGATTTTGATTTTTCTTTTGTACCCCACCCACTCCATCAACAAATCGATGCCAGCTCTCCCATTATGTTATATACAGAACTTAACAGTTCTCCACTGCTAGTATTTCGGTCCAAGCCATCAGCAACCCTTACTTCACTATTAGAACAGCCATTTAATCTTCTACTTTCAATCTGTTATCAAATGAGCAGCCAGAATGATCCTTTTAAAGGGCATGCCAGATGATGTCACTTCTCCTCCAAACCTTCTCTGGACTTCCCATTTTACCCACAGTGAAAAGCATATCTTTACAGTGACCTATAAGGCTCTGTACATGTTCTGGTCCTAGGTTCTCTCTCTGCCCTCATCTCTTATTATCTCCCTTGCTCACTTGGCTTCAGCCACACTGGCCTGCTTGCTGTTCTTTGGACACAACAGGCACATTCCTATCTCAGTCTTTGCACGTGACTATTCCCACTGTCTGGAGTGCTATTCAGATATCCTCATAGCTCTTTCCCTCACTTCCTTTAGATCTTTGCTCATATGTCACCTTTACGACTGTATTTAAGATTCAAACCTCTCTCTTCTCACCCCTTTACTACTTTCTGTCCTCTGCCGTGTTTTCTCTACAGTACTTATTGCCATGTGGTATGCTATATCTTTTATTTATATGATTGTCTGTTTTTACCCCCACTAGAACATAAGTTCTAAGAAGACAGAATTTTTGTTCTGTCCTGTATTCCCACCGTCTGCAATAATGTGTCGCATGTAATAGGTGTTCAGTAAACTTCTGTTGTGTGAATGAATAAATTTGAGAAGAAAACAATCAGGAAAGAATTAAAAATCCAGAATCTGCTTTTATGTTTATTTTCTTTGACAAGGGAACTAATCTAACCCTGGTGATGAACTTGACGCATTTTTTGATCAGCCTCTACTGAGTCGTATGAGAGGGGAAATCAAATTTTGAGTAAATATGAAAAATTACAGTTAGTTACCACTAAGTACTTCAGAAAAAGATAGCATTATATGAGATGGTTTTCTTCAAGTAATCATCAAGAATTAAACTTGACCTTTCTGTCCAGAGTTATTAATACAGTACCCTATGTTGAGTTTAGTTAACTTCTCTAATAGCTTCTTGGAGTATATCAAGTATCCTAGATATAATATTGCATTTCTAAAATGACTAGTAAAGCCTTCTAGGCTTTTATCAGAATAAAAGGCCATATCAAACCGTTAGTCTTTTTTATTATAATTTATATTTACTCTTTGCTCTAGGAAAATAATTTTACCTCGCTATTAAAATTGATATTTTAAAATTTCAGAAATAATTTTTAAAAATATTTGTTAAAGAAATGTATCTTATGACTGGAGACTAAAAGTTCTCCTCAGAACAGAGTAGAGTTAGCAACTCTGTTTGAGGGAAATTGTTCACAATTTTATTACACGTTTTGCCACATTGGTAAGCATAAGGTTTTGGACAAGAGGTGATTGATTCAAGATTGCAATACGTATTCAACTTTAATTATTGTAGGGGTACAGTGGCTCTTTGTCCAGCTAACCAACTGCTGGAAATTGTGTTTTTCTAGTTGCTTTTGATATATGGGTTTTTTCCTTAACCGATACCTCTTACTTCTCTTTGAGAATAGAGGAGCAAATTTTTTTTTTTTTTTGTGAGGAAAATCAGCCCTAGGCTAACATCCGATGCTGATCTTCTTTTTTTGCCGAGAAAGATTGTCCCTGAGCTAACATCTTTGCCCATCTTCCTCTACTGTATATGGGACGCCGCCACAGCATGGCGTGACAAGTGGTGTGTCGGTGCTTGCTCAGGATCCGAACCCATGAACCCCGGGCCACTGAAGTGGAGCACGCGCACTTAACTGCTTGTGCCACCGGGCCGGCCCCAAGAAGCAAATTTTATATATCACATAAGTTCCGCCATGCCTAAAACTCAAAGTATATGCCTATGCAAATCTTGAATTTCAAATCATTGATTTTCAGATACAGACATAATATCAGACTTAAGAATACACACTTACTAAGCAGTCCTTAAACTTGAAAATCCATGGATTTTGTTTATTTGAACCATTCATATAAAGTCTAAAAGAAAAATAAATTGATTTAATTTTTCTTAACACAGTATTTATTAGGCTAAAACATACTTTTTAGCTACAGAGGCCTTACTGGACTATTTGTTTTCCTATTTGGCAGACTTCATTAATTTGAAAAAGAAACTTAAGAAGTTCTTCATTTGGGCGTTTAAAACGCAATCCACTCGTTCATTACGTTGGTTATATACTCGTTTATCACACATGTGGCAAAGAATATAAAAAAATAATGTCTGACTGAAAAAATAAGGAATACTGTTGGGAAGGATTTTAAGTCGTGATAAATAAGTAGCTACTAGTGATTACAAAATAATCTCTGGCCTCTTTACATGAATTTTGACTCTCATTGTAATTATCTTGGAACACAGCAAGAATTATAAAACATGAATAAATGTCTTCTATGCATTGTCATATGTCCATTGCTTAAAATACAAAATAAAGGATTGACAGTAGTCCCTCTTTCATGGAGTCATGTTAATAGTGAGGCTGTGCTATTTTTAACACTGGTTGAGAAGGGGATGGTAGGTTAAAAAATTTCTAGAACCACTGACAGAAATAACATAAGATTTTTAAATAGGTTTTTTTTTTGGTTACTCTTTTTCTTTGGTTAGATTTTCTTAAAGCTGTATTTTGTTAAATCTAAGTTAGAGAGACAGTAGACATCTATTTGTGTTCACATAAAGAACATTGCAAGTAGAAATAGGAAATATTTTTTTTTTATTTTCAGGATACTTGGTAAAAATGTTCAGTTATATATCTTATACTTGGTGAGACCTTAGGTGTATGCACTCTTCTGAGAAAAAAACAGCATTTCATTAAGAGCTATCAAGAACTTTTAAAATCTTTACATGTACAAAACTGTGTGAATTATAAATAATTACTTAGGTGATTTGTAATTTCGTTTAAACATGCTGATGCCAGCCTTATAATACTTTCTTCTTCGGGAATCATTGTAAAGATCACATTTAATACTGAAAACTTTTCCGTTAGTCCTTCCCTCTCAGAAAATACATGAGTTTATTACAAATGATTAATTTTTAGTCTATTTCTTTAATATTCTGGTTCTGTGAAGTTGGATTATATAAGGCTTTACTACTTTTATAGTAGAAATGATCCTACAATTCCACAATTTTTTTTTTAAGATTGATTTGTTCAGCTAGTGAATTTGTTTTCACAAATTAAAACTCTTTGTTGATTCACTTACTTACATATAATATGATAACTAATATTCACTTAAAGGTACTTGACAGGATTGCCTCATATTGGTTTAAGCTCGTAGGAAATTAGTTATACTGTACTTGTTAAATTTTACATTGTACTTGCTAAATTTTTACCACATTCTATACATATGGCATTCCGTGATGAAACCTGTTTCAGTAAGTATTTTTCTTTAGCTTGTAATTTTAGAATAACTTATCCCATGTAGATTTAGTATTTTTCTAACAATCATTTTTTAAAAGCTCTATCAGTACCACTCATTTAAAAATTAATTATAGGAGATTATCATTTGGGTCATTTATTTTTATCGATGAAGAAATTCAAGATTTTTTAACTCATTCTTTCTTCAGACTCTAGAATTTTGTATATGACCTACAGATACCACTTAATTGATGATTAACCAATCTTTAATTTTTACTATTTATGTTTAGTTGCTTTTTAATATTAATGGCTATTTACTCTGTAATCTAATGGCAATACACAGGATCATTTGCATCTAATATTCAAGTATTATTAGAATGTTCTCTCTAAAATATTAGCTCCTCTTTTTGAAACTCCATCGTAAAGCAGTGTGACATTAAATTTTGCAGATATGGTTGAAATTCTTCAATTTTCTAAATGTTCAGATATCCTACCCATGGTTTATAGACACGATGGTGACATTTTTATAGCACTTTATAACGTGTTTTTGCTTTGTCTGTTAGTCTCATTTGATAATAGTCCATTTGGCTAACACAGTTTAAACATGCTTTTTATTTTTTAAATTACTAAATAATGGTGTGTACTACATGTATCCTTTCTAAAAATGGAAGAGTTCTCTTTATTTAAGGAAAATATTTTTGAGAGAATTATTAAACCAACAGCTTATACTATGGCCACTTAACAAGAATCTATAGTTTTTCATTCTTTTAAAGAAAAGTTCAGATCTTACAAAAGTAAACTATATTAGGTAAAGATGAATATTAAGAAAACATATTTTAATTTTTTCATTCTTTCATTTTATTTCCTGGTTCTGCTGGCTAAGAAAGTGCACATTTGCATTATTTGATTCAATTTAATTTTTTGGTATGATCATTCTTAAGCCAGCTCTATATAGGACACTTAAGTAATACTCTTCATTAAAAAAAAAGTATTCTTCAGAGTACAATATTGTGTGAAAACTTGGAATAGAATAATTTAGGATCTACACTAGAGGTAATTTTTCATTCCTTTTACTTCATTGGTAACTGACTAAGTGTCAGTTCATTTTTAAAAAATATGTAAGTAGTACTACATTCTAATCTTAAATTAAGAATGAAAAACTATTGTTACTTTGAATATATATTCATTAACTGTGCTGTCTGTTCGACTTGCTCCTGAATCAGCCTGCATTGACGTTCTTTGCCTTTCTGTGTCTTGTCTATCTTTACTGTTTCCATTAGATCCTCCTACTACTACCACCCTTCAGCCTACAATTCAGTGGCATCCCTCAACTGCTGACATCGAGGATCTAGCAACAGAACCAAAAAAATTGCCCTTCCCATTGTCAACTTTGGCAACAATTAAGGATGATACAATTGGCACGATCATTGCTAGTGTAGTGGGTGGGGCTCTCTTCATAGTACTTGTAAGTGTTTTGGCTGGAATATTCTGCTATAGGAGAAGACGGACGTTTCGTGGAGACTACTTTGCCAAGAACTACATTCCACCATCAGATATGCAAAAAGAATCACAAATAGATGTTCTTCAACAAGATGAGCTTGATTCTTACCCAGACAGTGTAAAAAAAGAAAACAAAAATCCAGTGAACAATCTAATACGGAAAGACTATTTAGAAGAGCCTGAAAAAACGCAGTGGAACAATGTAGAAAATCTCAATAGATTTGAAAGACCAATGGGTTATTATGAAGATCAAAAAATGGAAATGAAGTTTGTCAGCGATGGACATTATGACGAAAATGAAGATGATTTAGTTTCACATGTAGATGGTTCCGTAATTTCCAGGAGGGAGTGGTATGTTTAGCAATCACTAAATGTGACTTAACAATGTATATTGTTTCATTCATACTAGTTGATCATTTTCAGATTGTTCATACTTTTTCTTGAGGAGGAATAAGCTTTTTCAACTTGATTTTCAAGCATACTTTTTATATTCTAATTTGACAAATGAAAATGTAAAATCTGGGTTCAATGTATCTGAGCTGCTTTACAATTTATTTTCAATGCTGTACTACTGTCTCAAGATTTAAATTTTAATGCAGAGTACTTTATTGGTCTGAGGCACACAGGTAAGAAGAAATGTCAACATTAAATGTATGACTTTTTTGGTACAAAAATTAAAAAAAAAAAGGAAACTACCTTGGCATTGTGTATTAAATGTTTACCTAAGACTATAATCTCAAGTATAATGTTTGTTAAATATATACCTCTCAAAATTGATCACCACTAAATGATACTACATCAAAATTGACGATAAAGTAATTCAAGAAATGTTTATATATATTTTTAGTATACAAAAAATATTCAGCCTGATGAAACACCTTTCCTTTTCAAACATTATTTTCTAAGTTTCTATACAAATGGAATCTTTACCTCTGCATTTTAATGAGCCTTGCCATAGTTATTGTAGAGTGGCTTTTCAAAGGTGTTTTGTTGCACTAAGACTCTAGTAGTAAATGCAGTGACATGATGTGTGGAAGAGCATATGAGCTGATCAATGTTTTGTCCAAAATACATACGAGAGTAATAAAAGCGCCTTTTAAACATGATAATTATGACAATCTCTTTCATCTCCGGAGGACAAGTCTTATATTGTCATGTGAACATGGAGTTTGATGCATTAAGTGGTAACTTTAATGCTTTATGTCCTAAATATAAGAATAATAATGAAAAGATGGGACACAGTTAAATGTAGTACAGACAGGGTATTTCAGTATATCAAAAAACGTGGGTAAACTAGCGTTGGAGTGCCAGCTTTAGAAATGAGACGTGTCAGCCAAAAATCTATACAAAGAATTTTCTAGACCATCTTGTTTTAGTCATTTAATATTGATGTTATTCAAACGGGTAAATATACAGAAAAAAATAGAATAAACTTGGAAATTTGAGATTTAACAAGAAAAATCTGAATTATAGAACCAATCACTAATGCTTGCTGATGGGTATTGGCGAATCATCCTCATGTTTTTACTCCTAAATGTATGTGTGTGTTTCAAGATTTTTGTTTTTCCAATTAAAACTGGAAACATCATGAGGTGTTTTGTTTTTGTTTTTTACGTAATTAAGTGTATTCTTTCCAGAAATCATGTAATTTTTGAGAAAGAAATGTTATCTAAATCTTCAAATGTAGATCTTCTTTTTGAGGTAAATTGCTTCTACAGTGAAGTCCTATAAAATTGTAATAATGACAACTATTTTGAAGCACAAAGAATATGTTTTGTCTGTTGATTTGTTTGAAAAAAGGACTGTGTAGAATTGCCTTAGGTGTTTTGCCAGGGAATTGAAGTGGAAATTAGTAGGAGAATCATAAATTAAATAAATTATTTTGTTAATAAAAAGGCAAAGTAGGTATTTTTTTTTACCCTTCCAACTACCCCCTCCTGATCCTTGTCAAATCTAAAAAAATGTTTTATAAGGCAAAGTTCTAACATGTTTATAGAATTTTGCAAATAGTGAAGGCTTTATTCTAAATGATTATAACCTAATTTATTTTAACTAGCAGTATTTTGTGGAAATTAGAAACCTATTTTATTTCTCTTCTCAAACACTTAATATAAGACTATAATGTTGGTTAAGGATACAGTTAACTAAAGTTCATGAATATCTTGTTAAAAATATCTGGTTTTAAGTATAATTAACCACTGCTATACAAATATTAAGACTCTTTGGTCCAAGTCATTGGAAGAAAAACTTTCTTGATACTACCCTATGATTTGAAGTGGCTTTATTTTTTTAATTTAAATATCAGCAGTAATATGGCCATGAGAAAAATGGGTATAAAATTTCTTACCCTGGAAGATGTAAGTTTGTGGCTTTTTTGATCAAAATTTCATCTTTAGACAATGGTTCGAAATATAGTATGAATCTGAGAAGACCAATCACATTTAGAATACTGTATAAATCTCAATTTGATTATAATCTGAAGGAAATTCGCAGTGTATTTCAAGAGCTGTATTTCAAAAATATAAATATCTACTTAGTGATTATGAACTGCCTTTTATGTTGTGGCCATTGTGCGGTTAGGTTTTGTTTCTTTTTTTTTTGGTGGGAGAGGGTGACATGGAAAACTGCATGTGAGTATTTGATGTATTCTGTATCCTTAATCTATATCATTTGGCAAACTAAAAGAGTTCAGATTTTAAGTATCTGATACTAATGCTTAAGACTTTCTGAAGCATTGCACTGTTTATTAGAACTTATGTATATTTACTGTACATAGAGACTTGTTTGTAAAGATGAATAGTCATAGTAAACATTCTTGTTAATTAATTTTGGATATCAGTGATGTGCACAGCTAATTGATAGGTGTATCCATTATATATCCTACTTGCTTCTTGGAAAAGGTGGAAGAATAGTTTTCCTTTATTTGGGCCATGTTTATATTTATTTATTTCATATTCTTTAAACTTTTTCATTTTTATATTCACTTTAGGGTTTTCTTTCTCATTGGTTAAAATATTTCAATAATACAGTGGAGATGAGTGCAGCTCTTATTCTTTCCTACCATTTTTATTAAAATACAATGAAACTTTAATAGGGTAGCGACTAACTTTAGATGTGATATTTGAGAAGTACTTTATAGTTAAAAGGTTTAGTATTTTCCCATGTGCCTGAAAGGTTTCTATTTGATGTCTGACATTAAAGAAACCATTAATATTTTTTAGTAGTAGATATTGCTTCTGATAGCCATATATAGGAAAGTTTATAAAGATAACCCTGGCTAAATGTTTAGCATAAGGGGCTATAGGAAATACACTGTATAAGTACAAAAATTGAGAGTAATGTAGCATATTCAAAATCATCTGAGTTTGATTTTGCTTTTGGTAAATATGACTAAAACAAAGTATATGAACAAATAAGAAGTTGCTAATGTGTGAAAGTAATCAATGTAAAATATAAGAAAGGAAGAAATAGTACCCATATTGAATTTTTAATTCTAATAGGGGAATGATTTACAAAGTGAATTGTTTTTCCTGTTTATTTGTTAATTAGAAATGTATCAGGTGCTGGCCCGGTGGCATAGTGGTTAAGTTCGTGCACTCCGCTTCAGTGGCCTGGGGTTCGCAGATTTGGATCCTGGACGCGGACCTAGGCGCCGCTTATCAAGCCGTGCTTGTGGCAGGCGTCCCACATAAAATAGAGGAAGATGGGCACAGATGTTAGCTCAGGGCTAATCTTCCTCACACACACAAAAAAGAAATGTATCATCCTTAAAAAGCTCTTTTCTCAAATTTTGGTATGTTGAGTTTGGATTTAATTTTAATTTGTACCAGTGTTTTATGTTTTTTGGTTTTTTTTACCAAGTTACTTATCAGGTGGTAGCCCCAGTAGCTGTGCAACAAATCTTTAAATAAAAGTTTAAAAAAAAATTCTTTAGAGGCATATTTCTGTAACAAGCCTGTGGCTCTGTATTACCTTCTTTGTCCCTGTCATCATATTTGCTGGAGTGAGAGTGTGTGTGTGTGTGTGTGTGTGTGACCTAGTTTCTTTTAATTAACGATGTTTTGTGGGAATTTGAAACCTATTTTATTTCTCTTCCCAAGCAAGGCTGTATCAGGTTAAGGATGCAGTTAAATAAAGTTTGAGGAGGCATCTAAGTTGGCATTTAGCCATTACAGAATTTGCTTTTGATTAACCATTTAATTCCTATCTCGTACATACACATCATGAATAACATTCTCCACAATCATGAATTATTTTGTCTCTCTAGCCCTAGCAGTTAAAACAAATTTTGAATGTTTTTGCTGTGACTTTGACATAAGTCAAATTTTATATATTTCAGCTTGGAAGAACATATTTTGTAAGATATTTTTTAAGTTGGCATTTAGTGTTTTTCACTTACTGCTTGTGAGCTGCTTTGATTAGAAATGCCATTGTTTCTAATTTTTTGTAATTACCTTCTCCCTGTTTGCTATCTGACATTTAAAATTATGATACATTTTTTCTAGACTTTATTTTAGAGCAAGCAGCAGGGGTTTTTTATATTATATATAACACAATTTGAGTGGATTAAGTTTGGTTTCCCTCTTGTTATACCAATAAAAATTCATGCATGAAAGAATCTTTGGAATAGTGTGCACAGTATACCAACTTTTCTATGTTTTTAAAAAATGCTTTCTGTTTATATATTTCTTCTATTCCAGTAAACTTCACTTTTTTTTTTGGTACATATCTACTTTTAGTTGAGTAGTGGTAGGTTTGCATCAAGAGCTTGAAACCAAACATTGCTTATAAAAGCTTTTGCTGTATTTACCCTGAGGGGTCATTTCTTTACTTCAACCTTGATAATTGTTATTTTATCATGTTCATTTAAATTTGGAAGGATAAAACTTTGTTCAATTTTGAGGTGTCTTATTTCACTTGCCTTTAGTTAATAGCTGCTGTTTCTTCTAGCTGGGTACTATGGATGAAGCAAAGTGAAATTTAAGTTTAGTGGAATAACTTTAAAATGTAGATAATCCTCAAAACTTGAGAATAGTTCAAGGCCTCATTTCCTTACATACATAATATTTCTTTATAGACGTGATACCTAATTTCACAGTCTCAGTTGTGAGAAATATCTCAGAGAAAATCTAGTCTTGAAGGGATGGTTTGATCTAAAAGCCAGAGGTAATGAGATCTAGTCCTTAGCCTCCCTTTTTAAAATACATTCTATTATGGAAGATTATACAAAAGTAAAATAGAATTATGAAATGAGCCTCCATTTACCTGCTTCAGTTATTATCAACTCATGGTCAATCTTGTTTCCTTTAAACTCCCACCCACATAATCTCTCCTGTCATTAGTTCATCTGTAAATATATTAGTATGTAGCTCTAAAAGATAGGGAGCATTTATAAAAAGTAACCACAGATCATTATTACACCAAAAATTAGTAATTCCAAATAGCAAGTATCTAGTGAGTGTTCAAATTTGTATATCACATATTTTTGCAGGTTTAATTAGTATCCAAATAAGGTCCATACATTGTGATTAGTTGAAATGTCTTTTAATCGATGTGTTCTCCACACCACTGCCCCATTCCCGTTTTTCCCTTGTGATTTATTTGTTGAAGAAACGGCTTCATTTGTCCTGCAGTTTCCTAGTTTGGATTGTGCCTATTGCACCTCTGTATTTTTTGTCAATTGGTAGTGAGATCTAGAGCCTTGATAAGATTAATGTTTAATTTTGGGAGGCAAGATGACTTCTTAAGTTGTGGTATGTTATTCCATCAGAAGGCATATAACGCCTGCTTTTCTTTTGATATTAGCAGCCATTTGATGCTCAAAGCCTAGATCTAACAGGGAACCTACTTAATGTCTAGATCTATTAACTCTGTTCTTTTACCATACCATGTGCTTTGATAGCTGAATAATTATGTCCATGCTGCTCCCTTTATCTGAAATTCGCTTCCCTCTATTTTCCACACTGGGAAACCAATCCATATTCAAGCTCCAGCTCAAACGGATAACTTTATGGAAGCTACCTTTCTTCTTTAGAATTAATAACTGCTGCCCATATTCTTTTATATAAACTTATGTCTACTCTACCATAACTTTACACTTTATT